GACAACCTCAACATGAGCCAGTGCAGCTTTCCAGAACTCCTCTGCAGACCTGGGTTACCTTTGGCCAATAACGCAGATTTGCAAAATCACAGAAGAGTCTCAGCTGGAAGGGACCCCGGAGATCATCTTGGCCAACCTTGTGTTGAAAGCAGGGCTTTAGATTAGGTTATCCACAGCCCTGTCAAGCCAAGTCTTGAATATCTATAGCCAGGCAGATTCCACTGCTTCTCTAGGCAGCTTATCCCAGTGTTCAAGTGGTCTCACAGTGAAGAAATTGTTTCTAAAATCCAGATAGAAATACCCTGAACCAACTGGTGCCTCTTGTCCCTTGTTCTGTCTCCATGCATCCTTGTGAAGAGAATGACTGCCTCCATCTTCTCTCTCCTTTAAGAGTTTTATGGAAAACCTGGTTAACAGGAGTTTTGCATAGGTAAAAGAGGATAAAAAAAGACGACTTGCTTCACAAAGTCTATTGCATTTAAGCTGCTCGTAACATTGAGGACTCACAGCAATGAAAGCTCAGAAGTACACAGAGATATTTACAGGCGCAGAAGGACTGACGGTCTTTCCAAGCACAAGTTGTTGGAGGTAACTTATGCGTCCTCACAACAAATTTATTACATTTACTGTGGAAAAATCAATGAAATATTTTTATAATAATTAGATCGAATTATGCAGATACAGAACTTCCTGATTACAGAATGGACAGATGACCTTTCAAAAACAGGTGTTGGTTGGCTTTTTTTCCCTTCTATGGCTTTTTTTTTTTTTTCCTTCTATGAATAATAACTTTTTTGCCTCAGTTTTTCCCTCAATAAACATCCAAATGAAACTAAAGCATATGAAGGTTCCTGGAAGGTTTGCTAAAGGACTGTCTTCTAACAGTTCTTTACCTTTCCTTAACAATAACAATCACATACTGATTCGAGCAGCCACTCTCTGCACATACTTAAAGTTTCCTGGACTACGGAAAGTCTCCAAAACTTGTCATTCAGTATCTCCATGACATGAGCTTTCCCATCACAGACTTGGAGGACAGAAGGAAACATTATAACCAGCTCACTTGACTGCTGGATTTTGCTCACTGTTGAGCCACAGGGGATCATGTTTGCGCCAACTGCAGGAAGGTCAATGGCACCCATCAGTATGCTGCTCCTACCACCGATTACTTCTACCACCCAAAAGGCGTGCCTTTCCACCTAGCCTGGATGGGTCTTTCTCCACCTTTCAGGCACTGGATCTGGAGCTTTTATGGAAGAGACCTTTATTATTAAAAAGTATTTTACTCTAACAGCAGTTTAGAAACCCTGATCAAGACACAACTCTCAACCTTCTCTCGGATTAATTAATTACATTGAGATCATGGAATCTTTCACTAAAAAGATCGTCTCCAGAACTCAGGTTTTTGTAGTGCTTTTCTCAATATCCTTTCAATGGATAGACATGAAAATTACTAGATTTTCTACACAGATTTGCTCTTGTTACTTCCAGAAATAAAACCTAAACTTACTTGTCTTTTGACAAATTTGAAACTCAGAACACAGTTCAGCTCTTGCTTTTGTAAAAGCATAACAAAACAGATACTGAACAACATCAAACCAACAGAAAAAGTGACAGAATAAAATTTATCTTCTTATCTGATTTATATAGCCCATGCTACTTGTCATATTACAGTAAAAAAGTGAAGCAAAACCAAAACAGGCAGCATGAACTTCTTTAGGGACTTGAGCCATAATAAATTTGGTTTCTATATCCATATTTTCTCATATATTACACAGAGTTGATTTGAATCAATACTTAAACAAGAGACAAGAAACAATTAGATGCTGCAGGAAACTGATTATACACAGAACTTAATCCTCATTATCCACATCAATATAAATTCATTTCCTGACATTATGCAACTCTTCATTATTGCTCTTGTTATTAACAGCAACTTTATTTTCAGATGAGCTAGAAATCCAAATTCCTAACCCATTCTTCTCATGAAAGAGCCAAAGGTAGGCAGGGCAATAAAGAATATGTTCCCTTCAGAGAAATTTCAATGCTGGGTTTTATTTTCTGCTGCCTAATTTCCTCTTGCAACTCCATACCCAGAGGATGTTCTGCTTCTCCCCCAGAAATTGAGTGCTTCTGTGCCCTGCTCTAGAGCCAGTGTTTTCATAGAAGGAAATTAGTCAGCCGGCAATGGAGAAGAAAGTCTTCAGACAGCAGGAAAGAACAAAAGCTTAATCCAGAGATTACACTATCAAATTAGGAAAATGGCAGAATATACTTCAGCCAACATTTGTGAAATTGTGGTCTATCTCCAAGGTGCAAATCTAAATCTTTGCGAGCTAAACCAAAAATGAACAAAGGAAAAGCAAATAAACTATTTAGAAAAAAATCAGGGTAACCAAGTAAGTTTACATTATTTAATAGCTCCTTTCCATCATGTTTCTGAGTGTTTACATACTATTATTTTAAAAAGATATAAAAGTTGTAAAGATGCTTTTAAATTCATTTCAATATGAGCAAAGCAAGATTCAAGATCTTCCGATACCCTTTAAGAGAATCTTAAAACAAGACGTGTGTCATTAAGAATATGCAGCTACAGTAGCTACCATTGCTGGTAATAGTAATAGATGTCATGGGGAAAGCGAATTGTTATTTTTTAGTAAAGACAGTGGGAATTTTTTCAGTCAGATAAATCTTAGTTGGAAAACACCAGTTTTTAACAGGCACTTTTTTAGAAAGTTTCTTGGGATTGGTACAGGATTTCTGGTCAAAGTAGAAAGACATGAAAAGAAACCAAAGAATAGTTTGGTGTCTGGAGCACTTTTACAGCATGTGGTGAAGACCAGGTTCAATAACCCTTTTCTGGCTAACCTGCAACAGTAATGTGACCATTCAGTTCCCATTTTTGTTTCAAGCACTAGCTATTTTAGTGTGTCTTACTTCTGTTTTCAAGTAAAAAAAAACAAAAAACAAAAAAACCCCTTTTATACTGTTTCCATGATGACTGTGTCTTTCCATCTGTTGTTTTTTTTTTTAAATCTTCTACACAAATGGTCCTCCAACCTCTATAATATGAATAAGAAACCTCACTAATTAAAGGATACAGCCTGCCTAAATAAAAAGAGAAAATATTTTGTGTCTACACTATGAACACTTCAAACCATTTTCCAGTAAATAGTGTCCCACCCCACAAACACCAAAGATTGTATGTATGTTTACTTAAATAACTGATGTTATTCATGAGCAGACATTTTATAAGACAGAGGCAAAAGTATTATTCCTGGAAGAATTGCTTTGTAATATAGGATCTACGATAAGGTCAAAAGGAAGCATTTCTGGATGCGTTCCATCACTTGATGTTCAGGAAACCATTTTGTATGACACAAAGGATTAGGAAAAATAAGCTGCATGACATTTATTTTGTGATTTTAACATTAATATCTGTAGAAACATTTTATTGTCAGTACAAAAGTTAACAGATTTTAATACTTTTTACCCAATTAAAAATAAAAAAAAAACCAACCAAAACCCAAAACACCACCACATAAAACAGTGTAATTTGCACTCATATTGCATGGCCAGATCAGCGTGAGTGTTCTGAAAGTAAAAACACAAGACTTCCATAAAAAGATACAAACAACAGTGATATTTTAGCAGAGGCCAGTGCTATACCTACTGTTATGGAATGGATCAGAAGGAAATACCGGAGTCAGCATGAATTAATCCCTTAAAAAGATGCTGATATTCCTATGGCAAATTGTCATTATAAACAACTTCTCTCTTTTTAACTTAAGTTACAATAGAGGGATAGTCTAAAAGGCAAAAGATCCAGGCCAGAAGATCTGGAACCTATTATCCGACTCAGTGAAGAGAATTGTAGTTAATTTGACACATGTGCAACTCAGGGTAGAAGCTCAGCTCCTTTTAGAGCAGTACATTCTGCTATGGTTATAGACAAATTCATGTCTTTCCTTACTTTAGGAACCCTCTTTAATATTTTCTTCTTTTTTTGTGTGTGTGTGGAACGATTCTGCTTTTTGGCCATGGGAAACATTGCTACAGAGTTAAATTGTTAAAGTGACAGTATCGAGAATAAAAGACTTTCTTGTTAAAGGATTTGGTTTTGGCAAGAATAATCATCTGACACTGCAGTTTTTAAACACAAATAAATCAAAAGTTTAATTCCCCAAAATTAGTTATATACTGTAAATATTTCTTTTTTTTAAAGATCTGAAAACTAGTAAAGTCTGAGCAATATATCTACTAGTTCTCTGTGCTGCCTGCATAGAAATGCCATTTAAATTACAAAAACACAACAACCCTATAAACGATTAACTGTTTTGTACATTACCAATTAGTTAATAAATTAATGATATACCATTTTCCCTGAAAGCAAAGTATTTTCCACCTTTGGATGGTGAAAATTAAGAAATTCTGTGTAAGAACAGCATTTAGCAAATAGCTGTTAAAAAAGAGACTAATTTGCTAGGTGGATTGGGACATCCATTTTTAAATCAATACAAAAAATAATTCATTGTAAATATATATAATATATATTTATACATATTTTGAATATATTTACATACATCCAGCACCTATATACTGCATTTGTGCTCTGTAAGTGTGTGCCAACATATATTTTCTCCAAATATTACAAAATAAACAAGGAAGGCAGACACAGAGTTTGCCTCAAGTCCAACCGGTCCATTGTACAAACAAAGTCTGTTGCAGCTTACAGGAAGCCAGAAAATTGATAGTGACGGATATCTAGACACAGCTCAAACATTCTTCTTTGTTGGGAATATTTAAAAGTTGCAAATGATGAGATTCTTTATGTAGATTCTGACTGCTTTCCTCCAAGTTGTGGGGTTTTTTCCTTTTTTTTTTCTTCCATATTTCGTATGTACAAGCAGAAACATTAAGGTCCTGGAGAAAAGATTTTGTTTTGTGTATGGTAGGTAGCTTGATGTTCTTGTTTCTTTATTCCTCTGTATGATTTCTTTTCATGTTTTAACACTTCCATTCATGTGTTGGTACTTGGGAAGACAGGGTTCATAAGGCATTGGATCGGGAGAAAAAACAGAGTCATCACCTGAAGAACACGAACTCCTCGTGTCAGGGTAACTAGGTGAATACTGTTCGAGAGGTCCACTGAGATCCAGATACTCCTATGACAAAAGAAACAAATTGCATTTTTAGACAGTGAGTAAAACTGACAATAACACAGTACCACTGGTCTGATTTGGCTTGATTATATAGGGGGTAAAAACAGTTTAAAAATGACACTCATTTCTGTAACGCAATTGCATTCAAAACTGCCTGTTGCTTAAATATCTCATAAAACAAGGAGCTTGAATAGAGAAAGAAAAACCAAACCAATAACATGGTACTTTTCTGAAGTCCAACATCACCAGCATTAGCCGCGTCAGTGGAAATAAACATAACAGCCACATCAAAAGAGGACTTTTCACTCGCAATGATAAAAATGAAATTTCATCCTAAATAGAAGCATTTTTCTTTAGCACATGGTAATGATTTGGAGAGGGAAAGATACTTCCAACTTTATATTCCTTTGGTCAGTTTGAATATCTGTTTTATATTCTGTGATATTAAATTTGTGTTTAAACATGCAGTGGCATACATGCAAAAAAACTGAAAGGAAAACAAAATTAAATTCACTAGATTTGGGATTTCTACACTACATATTTGTGCGTGTGTGTGTGTGTGTGTGTGTCCCAGAGCAGCCATGACCAAAATAGTCATTAAAAAAGGAAATAATATCTGCTGAATCCAACTTTTGGGTTAAGGCTCTTTTGCTAGAAACAACAGTTTTGGCAGGAGAATAAAGTTATTTTTCCCCTTGAAATGTTCCTTCTCTTTCAACTTCTAAAGGCAGCTGCATTCATTTAAATGCAATCTCTTCATTTGCTAAACCACAAGTTATGATCGTACTGATGAGACAAGTCTTCCACTTCAGTCAGTATTTTATGCTGCTATGCTTAGGTTTGGGGTAATTCGGTTCTTCGGTTAACATTTTTTTAAGTCAGAAATTCAATCGTTACTATATTATAGTTAAAAAATGGTCACCATTTTAAAAGAGGGGGGGAATGTAAGTTTTAAAACGCCAACAAATACAGTAGGCAGCAAAAGAAGGCAGTTTGGATCTATGATTACTATCTCGCTGCCTAGGCTTTTAAAAGATCCACGAGGATAATCTTGACCCTTATTTATATATTAGCAAACCAGTCCTACATGACCAGAAATATAGACAGAAGAAGAAAGTATTCCAGTATTTGAAGAAAGAGGGCTTTCTTATGGAATACCAGGCATAGCTCGTCATATCAAAAGGCTTGCTACAATTCAATTATGAACTCAGTATTGAAGGCAGGATCCTTATCCCCTCTCCAGCCTCCTTATCCAATGTCAAGGGCCAGAGTAACACAGAGGGGCATAAGAAGTTTCCAGTATCAGGATGGTTCCTGGTGTTGATATAACGACACAGCCATGAGGCTGACTCTTGGTGACTTTTGCTCACGCGGATTGGGGAAACATTGCATGCTACTGAGAAACATGGGGAACAGGGTCTTCTGGGAAAAAAAAAAAGTCCAAAAACCCAACACCCCCACCCTCCCAAAACAAAAGACCAACAAAAAAACCCAACAGGTGATGATTCAGCATGGAGAGGAGCAAAACATTACCATTTAAGCAGAAATAATTACTTGCACAAATGCCAAAGATACTGTTGGCTGCCCCAGCAATTTTTTGAGTTGTTGGGCAAACCAGGCTGACCCTGTATCAACAGTGTCATTTCAGGGGGGGAAGGGAAAGTGCCACTGTGGAGTGGATAAACAGAAGTATTGTCAGACTGATGCCCGAAGGACCTGCACTTCAGGAAAACCGTGCAGATTACACAAAATCTGAGGTCTCAAAAGCACAAGTTATGGAGGAAAATGGGACACACTGGAGTTCTCAGGAGACACTGAGTGAGAACATGACGAGTTTTCAGGAACATAAAAAGTGCTGCAAAGACAAGTGAAATAATTTGCTTTCTTTGTCCAGGGTAAATAGGACAAAAGCAATATCTTATGTTGAAAGATTAGAGATTAGGAAAAACTTTCAAGAAGTAAGGCTAATGAAACAAAGCAACAGACTGTCAAGGGGTGATGCAGAAATACAGCAGTGGAGATCGTTAAGGACAAGTTACATAAACATCTGTCAGGAATGACAAATGTATAGCGGACCCTGCCGTAGGCCAATCAGATGGACTGGATGTGTTCCTGAGCTTTTTCCAGCCTTTTTTCCTACGATTCTAGTCTAAAGCAATTTACATAACCCTAAAGGCCTTTTCAGGTTACCTTTGAGATCATTCCAGGTCCATGAGCAGTACAGAATTGGGAAGGCAAGATGGTCAAACACACACACAAAAAAGCAATATCCTTTCCCAGGCTCAGAATTGCAGCCCAGAACCTCCCTCTTGAATTCACAAATGCATATCCAGTCCAAGCCACCCAGCACTCTGCAGTGGCAGCCAGCCCACCTCCAACCAGTCTTGTGAAATCATATATAAATTAGGCAGGAAAAGATGCAGTCAGTACTGGATGAGGGGAAAATGGTAACGGTACGCAGAGCTGTGTTACCAGCTCCTTAGGGAGCACATATTCCTGCCTCATCTCTGAGCCATCCCTGAAGGTGCCACTTCTTACAGTAAACCTTACAAAACAGAATCCAGATAATTTATAGCTGCTACTGACGCCAAAGTGTTTTTCAATTGGATCTACTGGGCAAATGATCATCATAAAAAAATGGCATCTCTTTACTCAGGTTCTCCTGTCATTTCTATTGCATACAGCCTTTCCTAATGCTGCTTAATAATCCATTTTTTATGTCTGCGACAATTCTAAAAAATTAGAAAGTAATGGTGAGGACCAATATAAAGTGATTCAAATCTTTTTTCCTACTCCTCCCCCCCCCCCCCCCCCCCCGCCACACACACG